CCCCCCCCCAAAACCACCACACATGTACAAAAATAAAGCCAACCCAAAAAAATCTGCTAAAATGCAATATTTTGATTCAGAAAGTTGGAGGTTGGTACATACAAGGAAGGAAAGATATGCTTCAAGACCATATGATGTTCTGCTCCTAACTATCATCCTTGGGCCACTAGAGTTGAGTTTTCTGACTCAACCATCAAACAGGAATATCTACAAAAGCTTCAAGACAGACAAAATGAACCTATGACATCATAAGTCTTTAGAGAGTTGTCACTGCAGGGACAGACCAAGGTTTCTACAGAGAGGTGACCCAGAGTGAGGTCTAGGGAGACATTGGTTATGTTCTGCTTTATCTGAGAGCTGCAGTGCCTTGCATTTGTTAACATTCATCCAACTGCATACTTAAGTTAATGCACTTTTTTCCTGTACCTAGGTCAGACTTGTAGAAAATGCAATTTGCTTTGATTTGGTTTAAAATGTGGTGATAAATAACCTGGCCTTTGAGCTTCTTGCAGGTTTAGCAATAATACATGGATAAAATAACACAGATAACAACACTGCTATTATAGGAGTGACTTCTTTTGGGAAGGTGAGAAGACATGCCAGTTTCAGGAGACTGGGCTTGGCTGGTAGAGTTACGTAGTGCATGCAGCTTTACAGAAGGCAGAGGGCACAGAATGGTATTGGGCGTTGGCAAGAAGACTGGTCATTGCCACGCTGACACATCTCTAAGTGTCCAAGAAAGTCACTGAGTCCATGCAATGTCACACTCCAGCCCCTGAACTGGCAGAGAGGAGCAGGGGCAGGAAGTCTGAGTCCAGGGTCAGGCTTACAACTCCATCAGGGTCAGAGTCGAGCTTACTTCAGTGTGCCAGAAGCAGAACTGTCCTGGAATGATGCCCAGGTGTAAGTATAAAAGTGCTGGGTTTCCATGCACGCAATACATGGCAGCCATTCGCACTGGCTCAAGGTTCACCTAGCTGTAAAAATCTCACCTGCCCACCTCCTTATCTTTCACGGGCAAGATTCCTACAGAATACAAATGCAGAAGCCACAGCCCCTAGCCTCTGGTTGTATACAGAGCAATGAGAAGAGGAAAGTGGGTGTGGGCAAATTATAAAATTCAGAGAGCATCCTTTCACTGGCATTATAATGGCCTCTGAAAGGAGGGACCCAGGCTACACCCTGAGACAATCTTCTGGATGTCCCTATATCCAGGGACAATTCAGAAAACACAACCCCATGGCCTTTAGAGCTGATACCAACAAAACCCTTCCAAGCCCCTGTAAAGTCACCATTGGGCCTTTTATTCTGCACTGGTCATATGTAGCGCCACCTACAGGTAATCGTTAATACAGCTGTACTTGAACCCCATGGCCTTCAGTCTGTCTTCCAGGATTTTCACACTGCCCTCTCCACAGGATTCCCTAAAACATAAAACAAACAAACATATTTTTTAAAAAATCAACAAAAGGAACAAATGTGGAGGAGGAGAAGGAAGAGGAGGTGGTGAGAAATTAAAGGAGGAAGATGTTGTTCAAAGTTAACTAAAATTTCTCTTAACTGTGTACTCCTGGATATTCTTCTCTCAAAGGGAACCTGACAGAGTCCCTGGTCCAAAAGGTGTTGCACAATGCAGTGAAGGATTGCTGAGACACAACCCTGAGTCTGGAGCTGGGAGAGCCAGGGATGCTCGATGCTCACAATGTACAGTTACAACCCCCTAGCATCACACAGCAGCATGCAAACTGTGATGTTTGCTCAGCTCCAGGTGTATTCACTTTAGGCTTTAATAACAAAAAGGCCTGGGTGCTGTCTTTGGCACAAGGCTAGCACTCTACCACTTGAGCCACAGCGCTGCTTTAGACCTTTTCTGAGTAGTTTGTTGGAGATAAGAGTTTCATAGAGGGCTGGGAAGGTGGCTCAGTGGTAGAGCACTTGCCTTGCATGCATGAGGCCCTGGGTTTGATTCCTCAGCACCACATAAGCAAAAAAAGAAAAAAGCCAGAAGTGGTGTTGTGGCTCAAGTGGTAGAGAGCTAGCCTTGAGCTGAAGAGCTGAGGGACAGCGCCCAGGCCCAAAGTTCAGGCCCCATGACTGGACTCCCCCCCCCAAAAAAAGAATCTCATAGACTTCTGCCAGGATTGGCTTCAAACTGCAACCCTCATATCTCAGCCTCCTCAGTAGCTAGGATTACAGGCGTGAGCCGCTAGTGCCTGGCTGTAACATGGCTTTTTGTTGCTGCTGCTGGTATTCTTGCTTTTGGGAGGTGGGTGGGGGCACATAAAGGGAGGGAGGAAGTATGAATATATACAGTCATGGTATTCAGCATACCCCTATGTGGAAAACAAGCTGTGTAACTTGTGGACAGGGATGGGAGGGGGAAACCAGGGCAAAGGGAAGGAAGGCGTGGCATTGTCCAAAAAGAACCAGACTCCTACGCGGCAATCCTCTGTACACCACTGTAAAAACAACAATAAAATTATACATTTTTAAATGTTAGAAAATGTGAATAAACTAAAGGAAAAAAATAACCCCATATCTCACATCCCTAGAGATGCCTGCTGCTAACCTTTTCACAGACAGTTGCACACATCTGTGCTCACTATGGTATCGGTCAACCATGATACCATGGTTGACCTCAGCCCAAAAACACAAAGTGGAAAATTCCAGAAATAAAGCCCCATATATTTTAAATTATACAGTATTCCGAGCAGCATGAAGACCGATGTCATTATAATGGAGTCTGGGGGGGGGCATAAGTACTGTTAGTGGCCCTTTCTATGTCACACAGTATATGGACCACCTGCTTGTCCACTGTCTCTGTGTACACTTATCTGTCCATGAGCTATTGAATAGCCATTTTTCAACCAGCGCTTGTTTTCAAGTAACCCTCATTTTATTTAATCATGGCTCCAAAGCACAAATCTAGTAATGTTGGAGGTTTAGATATGCCAGAGAGAAGCTGTGAAGTACTTCCTTAGGAAAGGAAAATAGAAGAACAAAAACAAACCCCATTTAAGTGGAGGTGTAGCTCAAATGATAGAACACTAGCCTTGAGTGAAAAGCCAAGCAAGGGTATATGGGCTTGATTTTAAGTCCTAGCAATGGCACAGAGAGAGGAGGTGGGAAATCATACCTAAAGTTGCTAAGATTTATAGTAAAAGTGATGGCCAACATTAGCATTGTAGGCATCATACACAAGATGCTGTTTTTACAGACACACAAAATACAACTTACGGAGTCATGGGGGCTTCCAAGCAATGTGTTGCAATATTGGAGTCCCCGTGGAAAGCCCTCAAGAAACCACACAATGTTATGAAAGAGAAGCCTAGGCTACACTAACCATTAAAGGAAATTGGAATGCCAAGAATGTAGAAGGTCGGCCAAGGAAAGCCACAGGCCATGAGCGGAGCCAGGCCAAGACAGAGGCCATGTGGGCAGCAAATCGCAGGGCCACAGGAAAAGAAGGTTTTGCAATCTCACTGGAGCCTCTGTCTTGATATAATGTGCCCCCTCTCAAACAAACAAACAATCAAACAAACAAAGACTCCTATATTGAAAGTTTGTTTCCCAGCTCAGTACTATTTGGGGAAGTACTGGAAACTTGAGGAGTTGGGGCCTAGCTGAGGCAGTAGCCCCTAGGGATTGGAGACATGTCCTTACAGTGCTATGTCTTTCCTAAGACCTGTCTCTGCTGTATGCCAGCCATGAGATAAGAAGCCACACCCACATGCCTGTCATTTACGGTTCTGCCTCGCCTCGTGGTCAGAGCCAAAGTGGTCAAAGATGTAGAGTGAAAGCTCTAAAACAGAGAGCCTAAAGCAGCCTTTTCTCCTTAAGATGTTTGTCTTAGATATTTCATCACTGTCACTGGAAATCTGCCTAAAAGTGCTATGTATAACACAGGTGTGTATGTAGAGGGAAAAAAAACAGTCCATGTAGGGGGGCTGGCTACTGCTTACAATTGCAAGCTCCCGCCAAAGGTAGCAGCCTTCAGATTCAAGGGGACTTCTCTATCCTGTTCTAGAGTTTTAGAATGTATCTATTCCTGTAAATCATTCCAAATGTATTTGTGGCTTTTTGTTGTAACCCATATCTGTCTAAAACCCCTGTATGTGTATGCCTGTCCTGAATATGTACCTTTCTTATGTAAACAGGCCATACATAACTCATACCAACAATTCCCTCCTTTGAAGGTTGATTCATATGTTTCAAAGCCATTGATACTACAAGAACATCTGTTGAAACTTCATTTTCATATGCATTCTTAGTTACTTGTATCCTTGTCATAAATTCCTAAAAGTAGTTTTTCTGGGGCTGGGGCAGCAGTGGCTCACCCCTGTAAATCCTAGCTACTCAGGTGGCTGAGATCTGGGGATCGTGGTTTGAAACCAGTTAGAGCAGGAAAATCTATGAGACTGTGATCTCCAATTAGCTGGCAAAAGTAGGAAGTACAGCCTGAGGTGGCTTACATGGTAGAGTAGCCTTGAGCACAAAAGCTCAGGGATAGCACCCAAGCCCTGTGTTCAAACCCCATGGCTGGTACCAAAAAAAGAAAAAGAAAAAAAAAAAGGTTTTCACGCACCAAGGTTTTTAAATCTCTTCATGTGCACTTCCAGGTGCAGGATGGAGGGGTGGTCTTTTTCCCACTCTCAGCCATATTGAATCTTGCCTTCCATAGACAGACTTAGGTAAAGAGGATTTGTACCATGGTAGACATAGCACTGTCATTCATGGCTAAAAGGCAGAGTCCTGCCCCAGGTTATATGGAGTGGAAAGATAAACAGCCTCCTCACCAAAGTGATAGAGACGCAATGTGGAAGGAGAAAATGAGCAACCGGCATTACAGGAATGAGGAGGACACAGTACGGAGAACATTTTTTTTAGACCTGAGACGATGCCCTTCTCTGGGAAAGCTTAGTGCTTAGGATTTATTTATTTATTTTACAGTTTTGACACAGATGCTCCTAGACACAGAAAAGAGCCCAGAGGACATTGTTTTACAGTTTGTTTAGTAAAGACTGCCAAAGTCATGCTAAACATAACCAATATTAACTATGCTATCTTCTGCTTTCTGCTGAAGAGGCAGTTTAATTTTGTAAATTCGGTAAACTAGTTACTAAATTGAAAGAGATTAAGAGACCTAGTGACTCACAGAGTCTCATTTTATGACAAGAGCAGCCACAATATACTCATTTAACAATAATTTGTAATACAAGTTGGGCGCCAGTGGCTCACACCGTAACCCTACCTACTCAGGAGGCTGAGATTTGAGTACTGCAGTTCAAAACCAGCCCAGGCATGAAAACCCCATGAGGAAACCCCATGAGATATGTGTGTGTGTGTGTGTGTGTGTGTGTGTGTGTGTGTGTGTGTGTGTGTGTGTGTGTACACTCTGGTTCTGAGTCATGAACTCAGGGCCTGGGTGCTATCCTTGGGCTTTTTCTGCTCAAGGCTAGCACTCTACTACTTGAGCTATAGCTCCACTACTGGCTTTTGTTTGGGGCGGTTAGCTGGAAATAAGAGTCTCATGGACTTTCCTGCCTGGGCTAGCATTGAACTGTACTCCTCATATCTTAGCCTGCTGAGTAAGTAGGATTATAGGCATGAGCCACCAGCATCTAGAATGTGAGGCTTTTATATTGAAAAAAAAAATCCAGAAGTGGCGCAGTGACTCCAGTGGTAGAGCACTAACATTGAGCACAAAAGCTTAGTGACAGCACCCAGTTCCCAGTTCACTGGCACAAAAAATATTAACTATAAAATATTATGAACTAACTATATTAAAACATTATTAACTATAGTCCCCAAGTATTCCCTCTAAAACCTGAACAGTCCAAGACACTACTTTCTTAGCTCATGACCTGCAAACAACTCTAACTTATGGTTCAAATGTGACAGTGAGGTACCCTTTGGAACCTCTACTTTATCAGAAATGTTGAGCAGAGACACTGATGAATTGTAGATTTTTAATCCTGGTAGCTTCAAAGGACAACTTTCTATAACCAAAAAATTGAAACAACAAGCAAAGATAACTTCTATATAAAGAACTGCTCATAAAAATGTAACAATAAGGGGGATTTGTGTTCTGGGAGGAGAAACAGAGATGTTGGTATAACTTATGTAATTAGTGGTTTGCCAATTTTCTGCAACTGCTCAAGAGACATATGACACAACTCATGTAATAAATAACTTGCAAATTGACTGCAATCTGTTGCCCAAGAAACAGGCAATAATAACGCCCAGTATATGGAGAGTCTGGAGAGTAGAAACAGCTTCTAGAATCCACATGTTCAATGGAACATCCTCAACTTGCTTTGGCAAAACTCTTCTCCATGTAGCACCATGTTCCTAAGAACAAGGCCCAGCATGCAGCCAAAGTTCCACCATGGTTGCTTGGTTTTCAATAGGCTATGAACCAAGTAGATTAGCTTTTGTATCTTGAGTTTGTGCCAGAAGTACCCTTCACTGGTGAGAAAACACTGAACTCTAGTGATCTCCTAGAAAACGTGCATCTTCCAAGAGTCCTTGACCACGAATCTGAGACCTCCCTGTGGAGGCTGATGGTGCCCTGAGAATAAAGTCTTTGTCAGAGAGTCTCTGGGTTGATCATGAAAACCCTGGTTTTCACAAAATGAGAAAAGGAGACTGGCTCTCACCAATGTCCACAGCTATCCAAAGCTGTCCTGTCACTTAGAAAGGAACCCTGTGTTCTCTAGCTGAGAATTTGCCAAATAAAAAAGCTTTTCTCCCCGGGCTTAGGACTAGCTACTGGTATTCCCAGAAAATGTAGCCACTACAATCATGGTAGCATCAGAGAAGGCTGGAATTTCCACAAAACCAATCATATGATATAAAAAAAGCATGTTTGCACAGTTACCCTCATCCATAGCACCATAACTTACACATATGGTCCTCCAATTTCATGCATGACCCAGACTTCAAATCGGGTGATTTTATGTTTCTGGAAGTATGGAATTTCATAATCTGCAAAAAATCTGAGAGACAGGGAAGAAATATATATATATATATATATATATACATACATACATACATACCGTGTATATATTTTATATATATAACCACACACATATATTTTTTCTTTTAATAGTCAGAGAATCTCCAGCCTAAGAAGATATTTCTTTAAATCCTAAAGTAATGGGGTATTTTTCCATTTTAGTTGTTAGCTCCTATACTTTTATTTTCAGGTTACTTGTTCATGCATTCAATCTACTATAAATGGTTTCATTATGTAGACATAGCTTTAACCCCCAGATCGTTTAATTTTCTTCATGTGTATTTACAAAAGCACACATTAGATTGAGGATTAGCACAGTTCTCTTTAGCCTCCTTCAAAGCAACTGAGTAAACATTCTGTAACAGGTGCTGGAGTTCTCACCCTTTGGTAGGATAGGCTCCCAATGGCTCAGAACCGTTCAGCATGACGTATATCACCCCAGAGCTATCCCTGGAATACTGCAAGAAGAAAAAGTATTTTGAGTAAAGGGAGATGTGTCGTTTTTCTGCTAGGAAATGAGTTTTGGTTTTATATCAACAATGCTCAATGTGGGCAAGTCTAGCATTTCACATAGGTAATAGGGAGACAAGATGATTATATTTGGAGAAGCAAATTGCTTCCAAATGTTGAAAACTCAGGCAGAGTAATTCCATGTCTGACACCTAACATTATGAAGATGATACAAAGCATACAACATCCTATCCGAGGGAATAAACTAGGTTAAGCTGCCAAGACACACAGCCTTAAAATCACAGTAGCTTCAAACAAGGAAGACCAATGTAATGCTCATGCTAACGTTTACCACAGGCCCCTGGCTTTTGCTGGTTGTGTGTTCTTACTTTGCCCCAAGCTGAAGAAATTTCCACATTTGCAAAGTTGCTGATTGTCAGGAAAGAATAAAAGGAAGACAACAAGTCATGGCCAGTTTTTAAAGGCCTTGCCACACAGGCCACATGCGTCATTTCCATTATATGTCATTGGTTCCTGTAAGTTGTTGTAACTAACTTCAAGGGGCAGGAAGTGCAGGCCTCAGTTGCAGACAACAAGACTACAACTTGAGCCTTAGCTCCACTTCTGGTTTGTTGGTGGATAATTGGAGATACAAGTCTAATGGCTTCTTGCCCAGGCTAGGTTCAAACCTCCATCCTCAAATCTCAGCTTCCTGAGTAGTTAGGATTATAAGCATGAGCCACCAGCACCCTGCAACCCCTCTTCATTCTAACCCTGGAAAAAGAGAACATAAGCTGTAGCCTTAAACAGACTATAGCTCTGGCATTTCATAGCTACTGCCAGCTTATCTACTCCAGTAACAATATTCTCTAGGGAGCAGATCTACATTAAGGACACAATTTCTGTGTCTCTAGCTTATTTGCATCTTCTCTCACCTCCTCTCCTCTGGTTATTAGTGTGTGGACATGTCTAACACCCACATTTAATTCTCCAGTATCCCGTGGCCTTCCATGAAATGAAGAGTTCCCCCACTTTTCAAGGCAACAAAAGGGTCAGATTGACTTGAAAGACTAAATACAACCCTAGTAAAATAGAAGTAATAGCAATTGTGCAATTCCTTAGCAATAGCTAACATTTGTTAAGTGCTTTTTCTGTACTAGGCAGTACAGAAAGTATTTTCTCTCCTTAAATCCTGATAACATTACAGACCAGGGAAAACAAATCAGGATATTGTAAAAGCAGAAAGTGAGGTTCACAGATATAAGTAATGACTTCTTGGGTTTCCATTTCTGAACCTCTAAGTTCATGGGTTTCACAGGCACCCAAGTCATTAAGCCTAGGATTACCTGTATGGATGCTCTTTTCCAAAATGAATCCACAGGATTGTTTTCACAGTCTTCTGATGTGGGGCAGGATTGGTAATCAGGTTCTAAGAGAAAAACAGATTCGCATATTTCCTTTTAAAGACTCTGACAAGGAAGCATTGATTTAAACTCCATAGTTATCCTACATTCTGTACAATGTACACAAGTCATTCAGCGTCCCCAGGCCTCAATTTCCTCATCTGTAAAATGAGGGTTAAAAGGCAGAGTTGAGCTGGATTGGGAACTCAGGCTCTGTAGTTACACACTGAGACTCTGAAGCTAACTACTTACACACTTCAAAGCGACTTCTTTCATTTTTCTGTGCCTCAGTTTCCTTATTAGTCAAAATAAGGATAATGGGAGGATCCCACTTGGATATTGTAGTTCATAAAGACATCAGTACATATAAAGTACATAAACAAGTGTCTGGGAAAAGGTATGTACTGCCTTCATTGTTACTATCCCTTCTACTGTTGCAGTACTGCTGAGGATTTGGATAGAGCAAATGACATAAAGGCATATGAAAGGATACATCTCAGATGGTAACTGCACAGGAAAGTGAAGCTCATATTTTTCTCATGATGTGTATAAGGGTCTTACCAGAGGAATTTTCCTGTCGACACCAGCTCAAGAAGTCCCCAACTCTGCCATACAGCACATCGCATAGGGGCATAAAGCGACGGGCATTCTCTGAATAGCTCATGACAAGGAGGTGGTTATTTTCCCAAAACAGGGACTAAGGAAAAAGAAACAAAAATTATATATAAAATAAGAGCAGATTCCTCAGTCATAGTGTCCGTATGAGACAGGCAACTCGTCGCTCAGCTGCAGACTGACTGCACTTTCCTTTTGACTTTTGTTCAAAGTTGCTACCCTCTTCCCTCTTTTCCGTCTAAGGATCTTATGTCTATGTTAACACAAGGTTTTCCATGTAGCATAAAATGCATGTAAAGGAGTAAGATCTTTGTATTAAAAAAAAATCGGGGCATCTGGGCTGGAATTCTGGCTCTGTTGTATGATGATTGTGGGATTGTGATGGAGACACATCTTCCATACCTGAAAATTGAGACTGAATGCTTTCTGTGATTGAGTGGATAGGAAATGACAAACAGACTTCTTAGAGTGGAAAGTGCCTGAAAATGAGATTACCCTTAGGGTATACCTTATAATTTCTAGTGTAAGTGACAGTTAATGTAATAATAGATATGATAATATTCCATGTTATTGTCTAGCCAGAACCTCTATAGTCCAGTCACTATCTAGACTGGTAGGTGTCCAGGAGTTGTTTTTCAATGTTACATTATTTTATTTACTTTTTATTTATTTGTCAGTCCTAAGGCTTGAACTCAGGGCCTGAGCACTGTCCCTGAGCTTTTGTACTCAAGGCTTGTACTCTACCACTTTGAGTCACAGGTCCATTTCTGGCTTTTTGATGGTTAATTGAAGGTAAGAATCTTATAGACTTTCTTGTCCTGGCTGGCTTTGAACCACGATCCTAAGATCTCAGTCTCCTGAGTAGCTAGGATTATAAGCATGAGGCACAAGTGCCTGGCTCACTATTGTATTCTTAACCTTTAGCACAATGCCTGATGCACAGAAAGCTGCCTGGTCAGTGCTGAGTTCAGCGCCTAATCCACCAAATCTAGAGAGAACAGAACTTACGCTTCCTGGTTTGTTTTTTTTTTTCAACAGGAAGACAGCAACTTATATTTTTAAATGACAACATAGAATGCAACATATACCATGAAATCTTGTTTTCCATCTATTATGTCTTTGATTTTCACTATAATACACCATGGAAAATCAGTTTAAGAAGAATTATATCAGAGATATAAAGATGCTATCTGGCTTTAAATTTAAGGTACTGTACTCAGCAAGCATTTAATTTTTTTTAACTTTTCTTTGTATTCTTCACTGGAGATTGAGCACAGAGTTGTACACTTCCGAGGTAGCCACTGCACCACTTGAGCCGGGCTCCCAGTCTTTTGGCTTTGGTTGTCCCCCCTCTGCCATTCAAATAGAGTCTCTTGTTAATGTTGTTCAGCCTGGCCTCAAATTATGGCCCTTCAACCTCTGAGTCATTTATTTTCTTTTCACTCCATCTTAGGATGTAGATAAAATATAGACATAGCTTTCTTAAAGAAACTGAGAGTAAATAAACATAATATTGAGATCCATTCAAAAGAGAGCTTGTTGTTCTGAGAGGGCACTAACATTTAAGGCATGTGAATTGCTCAAAATGCAGGCTATAAGACCAAGTGGAATAGAGATTACACTGGTCAGATTTGGAGGCCCGGTGTCAAAGGTCGGGCAATGTCCTGAGCTCCCTGTAGTGATTCCTACAGAGACCTGCTGACTTAGGTCACATCTGGGCAGCAGATCCAAGGGAATATTGGAAACAAAGCTGCCTTGCCACCAGACAGGTCAACATGCACATGGTGCATTTGCTGCTTGATGTCTCAGTAACACTGCAGGATGCTTAGGGCAGCTGACCTCATGCCCAGCCTGGTATCATTTTCCTCCACAGAGGAAGAGTAAGGATTTATCTGAGATGGCTTAGTCAGTTACCTTGTCCCGGGGAATGGAGTGCCAGGAGAGGTTAATAAAAAGGTCATAGTCTGAGGGAAGCACAGAGCAGGGATCTTTGTCCAGCACCACTTGAAAGGCTTCCCAGATAGCCGTGCAGTTCTTGGTCCTGTGCAAATATGTCCAAAAAAAAAAAAGAAGAAACATCATGATGTGTTATGACATATTTCCATTACTATAGAACTAGAAAAGGCCAGACACGATGGCTCACACCTGTAATCCTAGCTACTCAGGAAGTGGAGCCTGGGAGGATCAAAGTTTGAGGCCAGCCTGGGCAAAGCACTAGCAAGTCACCTTCTCAACAAATGGAAATTGGGTGGCATGTCCCTGTTATCCAGCTACATGGGAAGTATAACTAGAAAGATGATGGTCCAGGCCATCTGGGCATAAAGACAAAATCCTACTCAAAAAAATAAGTAGAGCAAAAGGACTTGAAGCATGATTCAAGTGGTTGAGTACCTCCTACAAGGGGAAGGTTTTCAGTTCAAACTCCAGTATGATCACACACACACACACACACACACACACACACACACAATGTAGAAAACAAGCTGAGGCTGCCTGATACAGGTGGCTCATACCTATAATCCTAGCTACTCAAGAGGCTGAGACCTGAGGATCACAGTTTGAAGCTAGCCCATTCCGGAAAGTCTGTGAGACTCATCTCTCCTAAAAAACTGTTCAGAAAAAGCCGGAAGTGATATCTTAAGCAAAAGAAGCTCAGGGACAGTGCCCAGGCTCTGAGTTCAATCCCTACAAAAGCAAGAAAACAAGCTGTGATGACTCAAGAATGGATAGGAAGGATAGGATACAGGAAGTTGCTGTCAGAAAGTGCTGCATAGATTTCTCAGAACTAAGTCATATGGCCTTGTCTGAGGCTGACAAGGTAAACAGAAGAGGTATCAAGCTGCAAAGCGACAACTTTAAGAAACCATATAGCCTTTGGAATTCAGGCGCCTTTTTAGTTTCTGTTTCTCTATGTCCTTTCTCTCTCATTCCTCTTTCTTTCTCGCTTTCTCTCCCTCTCTTTCTCTCCCATTCTCTCATTTGCTCTCCCTCTCCCTGTCAGGGAGTTTAATTTTGTCTTGCTTCTCTTGCCATGCTGGGGATGGAACCCAAGGCCTTACCCATGCTAGGCAGGGGTTTTACCACTGAGTTGGCCCCCGGAACCTTCTTGATTCAATTCAGATTGGGGCCCATTATCCAGATCCACCAGGAGCTTGGGACAAGATGAGACCAGGCCAACAGACAAGACTTGGGCTCCTACGAGTGAGCACCAGGTGCTGGGCAGAACTTCTTGCTTAGTGAGGCAGAGGGTATGCCCACCAGTGCCCGCGTTCACTGCTGAGGTCCTTGCCCACTTTCAAAACCACAGCTTCTGGTAATAGCTCAGTTGCTCCTATGTTATTCTCTGTTCTGATTCACGTGCTTGAAATGCATCATGACAAAAATTAGCACAAGAAAGGACGCTAAGCAAAAAAATAGGATAGAATGGAATCCAGGAGAAGAAGAAAAATCAGTAAGAAACATGGCCTGGGCAAGAAAGATGAAAACCTTAAAGTCCTGTGGGAAGAGGATCTGAGTTCCACAGAACAAGGTCTGACATGGACAATTCCACTGTGGGTGGAACGTGAGGGCTCCAGCTATGCGGGTGTGGACTGGCAAAGGGCTGTCATTCAAAATTGCTTCTGAAAGCGCGCACGCGCACAGACACAACACACACACACACACACACACACACACCTAGACCTGCAATGCACCTGAACCTGTTCAGCTCCTTCCCCACCTGTAAACCCGCATCCCTCCAGCGACTGTCTGTCCCATAAAACTTGCCTCATGTGAGGACACAGGTCCCCCCCACCCCCACCCCACCGGGGCTCACCGGGTGTCGGAGTTTAGCAGCTTGTAGTCTGCGCAGCGGCCCAGGAAGATGCTCTGCAGATGCGGGCTGGTGCCCTCCCCTCTCCACCGCCCAGCTGTGGCCCCAGCGGAGAACAGCTGCAGCAGCTGGAGCAGCAGCTCCCAGGCCCAGGCAGCCATGGAAGGGACTTTGGTTTCTCCAGCGTGGTGCCTCCTGGACTCCTCCCACTTCCTCTCCTCTCTGGAGACACTTTTCCTGGCTGAAGTGGGTACAAGTCCTGCCCTAACACCATCTGTCCCCTTCTGTCCCCTCTCCTTCACTTCTAAGACTGAGGTTGGACAACTCCAGGGACAGAACAAGTGCCCTTGTCAGAGTCCTGGGTAGGTGGGGAGGGGAGGGGGCGGCAAAGCACAGGCCAGGTTGAGGATAGCTGAGAGGATGTCAAAGCAAGGCTCCATTATAACAACATGGCCTATCTGGCAATGTTAGATAGATCTGGTCTTTCCCAAGGCCCAGGAATGAGTGAGTTTTGTTTTCAGGAAATAACCACAAAAACTATTGTTTACTGAGTTGGTACTATATACCAGTCATTCATGCCTAATACTTACTGACATTCCCTCCTCGTTTTGCAGATGAGTAAACTCAAGGAGTTAATTAACTTCTGAGGTTACAACCCCTTCCTGATAAATGTGGGAACCCTAAAGATAGTTTTGAGAACTGGGGTTCAGATTTCCTCCTGGAGGACTAAATCCCTTGTTCTTCCCACAGCACTTGACATAAAGGAGGGAGGGTGGGGGCGCTGTACTATCTGAGTCTCTTGTTTCTGTAATCAAACTCCACATTCTTCTGTCCAGCCTCTCCTTACATCAAAGTCCACATTCCAGGGATAGGAACTTTCAATTCTTTCAACTATCTTTTGCCTAGAATTTGTTTCCATATTTCTAAACAATATGCCTATACGCTGTTTCTAGGAATTTATGTTCTGGATACTTTTCTTAATTATGTAAAAACTTATACAACCAGACAAATTTGAACTTTTACTAGACAGCTTAATAGGAATGGATGGTCAAATTTTAGTTACAGGGGCTGGGAAGGTGGCTCAGTAAAGTGCTTGCCTTGTGTGCCTGAGGCCCTGGGTTCAATTTCTGAGCACCATAGAAGCAGAAAAAGCTGGAAGTGGTGCTGTGGCTCAAGTGGTAGAGTGTTAGCCTTGAGCTGAAGAGCTGAGGGACAGCACCCAGGCCCAGAGTTCAGGGCCCATGACCGACAAAAAAAAAATTTTTAGTTATAACATATTGTAATATAGTAACAGTGCACATCATTTAGAAATACTAGAGATATATACATAAATATTTACCATTGAAATTAGGTCTAGAACTAAATTCAAAATAATACTGGAAAGGGGAAAGGAGTTGGTGAACAGATCTACTTACATGGAGAGTCACTACATTCATGCTTCAAAGATTCGTTAGTGTTAAAATATCAATTCTCCCTTAAATGATATTTAGATTCAGAGTAATTCCAATAAAAACCCAAGCTTCTAAATAATATAAATCAAAAGGCACATTTTAAATTTTATATGAAAATCTAAGATTCTAGATTTTTTTATTCTAGCACTAAAATAAACAACAAAGTTGGAGAGCCTACACTATCTAATGAAAAGACTTACTGTAAAGTGAGACAATAAAGCATGTTTTAGGATGTAGACATATAAACTCAGTAAAAAAAAAAGTCAGCAACTAGATCCACATGTCATTTTCAATAAATATCAAAAGTAGGGGCTGGGAAGGTGGCTCAGTGGTAGAGCGCTTGCCTTGCATGCCTGAGGCCCTGGGTTTGATTCCTCAGCACCACATAAGC